GTCTGTCCAACTCAGGTTAAACATTGCTGGAAGGACTGCCACTGTGCCGTGGTGTCCTTCTCGGTGAATCATATCACAGGCACATGGTGTCCACTCCACACATTCTTGTGAGGCTACTTTGATCACTTGTTCAAGGTGATGTCTGCCAGCATCTTCATGGAAAAGCTATTTTTCCTCTTGTGATTAAGAATTTTTTTTTTTTTTTTTTTGTCTTTTTCCGTGTCCGGCAACGGATCGCAACCCTCAGTGTTGCCCCCATACCGGACCGGGGACCGGCAACGGGACCGCATCCCTCGGTGTTGCTCCCGCGCCTCGCTCAGCCAGTGAGCGGGAACCGGTCTGTATGTGGGATCCGAACCCTCAGGCGGGAGCGCCGCCACACTTCCCAAGCAGCGCACTATCCATTGCGCCACCGGGTCGGCCCATGATTAAGAATATTTAATGGGAGATTCTTTGAGATTATGCACATTTCCTACTTCTCATCAAATTTCCACCCACTAGTTTTGACATCATTGATCATTTTTTCCTAAATCAATTATTAGTGTTATGGGTGCCAAGTGGTAATTTTGTAATTCCAACATTCCTTCTACATCTATTAGTTTTCATTCTTCTTTAGCAAGTAGCTTTCTATTCTGTCTCTTTTTATTTAGTTAATCACTTATGTAAGGAGGAACTCATAGATTCTTATTTTATTTTGTGGGTTAAAATCATTACTAATATTTTGTGTATTGATGCTTTAACATTTTGAATAGAGCTCTAAAAAGGTAAAGACAAATGGTTAATATGAACTAGTTACTCTTTTCTCCCTTGTTTATTTAGTGTAGCATATTAGCTAATTTTGCAGCCCTATTTGGGTATTAGGATAATCCAGCAGAAGTTGCCATTGTTTCAAAGGTTGGGTGTCGTTGGTTCTGCCGCGGTGATTCATTGAAGTGGGCTGAAGAAATGGAAGTCACTTTCTCCCTGGAAGCCAGGAGTGTGTTATTGCTCTTAATTGTGCTGAGAATGCCAATGACTGAAGCTGGGGGAGAAAAAAGCTCTTAATGAGTTTCAGCGTTTTAATGTACGCCGGGTTCCCAATTGTATGAATTTAAGAAGCTTAGCAATTAGGTATCTTCTGAATAACAGCATTTATTTTTTACTCTAAATACTCCCAGGGAAGTCTGAATAACATTGCAGCTTCTTTGGTGTAATAGCTTTGGTGGGCTAATTGACTTGAACAGTGGAATTGCTCCTTAAAAAAAGGGGGGGGGGCACACGGTTTTGATTGATGAGCTCAGCAATAAATCATTAATCTTTGTAGCTCATAAATGATAGGAAGAGTGTTATGTTTCCCACCCTGTAATATATTCTAGATTCTCTTGCTGATACAGTGGCCATGTTTAAAGGATCTCATTATCAATTTAATATGCCCACCTCCTCATAATTTAATATAATGTCTAGTAAGTTTGCACCGATGAGGAACACAATGGGACAAATTGTATACATTGATAATTGTTCTTTTATGAACATGACTTACATATAGTTAGTAGCTGTCCTCTTGCAATGCCCTAAATTTCTTATGTAATAATAATTATAGAAATTATGATGAATTACTAAGGTTCTCCCATGTACCTGTCACTCTACTCAAGTTTTAGTATGTTGTATCATTGAATCCCCACAATAACCCCCTGAGGCTATTAGTGTTACAAGGATACTTCAAAAAGTTCATGGACAAGTTCATATTATCTTTTAATTCTATTTTTCCACAAACTTTTTGAAGCACCTTTATATTATCTCCATTTTACAGTTCAGAAAATTTGCTAAGAAATGTTAATAATTAGTTAATGTCACAGAACTGGTTAATGTCAGAGCCACTATGTCACTATCCGTTCACAGATCATTTCTACCCAAACTTTTCTGAAGAATTATAAACAAAATCATTTTTGTCAAAATGGAAATACATAAAGTTATATAGATAGCTTAAACTGACATTTGTAGTTGTGTTAGGGTATAACAGTGTCCCAGGGATTTTTATATCTCAACAATTAATTTTCATGTTCATCATGGAACTGAGACACCATTTAGAAGTAATTTAGATTGTCTAATCACTACTTTGAAGTAAATAGAATTTCAAGTTATGAACTATAAGCGTTAAGGGGCAGATGTCTACATTCTTTGCTATGCTGATGTTTTAGCTGATGAGAAATAGCACTTTATTATTGAAATGTAGCTAAAAACCATCCATTATGCTGAACTCTCTAAGGCACACAGGGATTATGGCCTATTATGTCCGTGTCCTCAGGATTTAGCTCAGTGGTTGGCAAAGACTGGAAGATGGAAAAAAATGTTGGTTGAGTGAATGAAAAATGGTCAATAGCAAAATTGCCCAAGTCAAGATATGTAAATCAGCAAGTGACTTTGAATTGGATTGTTGTGACCCTAAATGCCTACAGTTGTTCAGGTGTGCTAGTCTGCTGAATCACAGGACTCCCATAGATAGAGAATCTACAACTGAACAGAAAACTGACATGTATGCATTCCTTTTCACTGGTAGTCAAGGCACTCTTGGTGAAATAATATAACTCATTGTTGAGTCACATTCAGAATAAAATTTACCTCTTTCCTGCTGATGAGTTTAAAGAAAATCACAAATCATACACGTGTCGAATAAAAGCTGACAATGATGATGGAAGATAGTCTTTTAAAAGACAATGAAAAATAATAATAATAATAACAAATAAAAATGAAATACAATATGGTTTACTTCATGTGAACCGCTTCAACAACCCACTGCTGTACCTCCTCTTTGCTGTTTCTCTACCAAGTCACAATGTTAATTTAAGAAAAGGAAACAAGTCAGTAGGGCCTGGTTAGGTTCCTTCCTCATCCCATCCTGTGTTGATAAACTGGTTTTCATTGTGAGATAAACACACACACACACACACACTCCCACACACACACCACATTTTTTCCAAGCTTACATTAAGAATCACATGTCACCAAATGTTTTGCAGCCTGTTTAGGCTCTCTTTGGAAAGACTATGATTAAATAAACCCAGGATATACCATCCTTCACTTAGACTGACAGAATTTTAATGTACAGCTGAATTTGGTGGGGTTTTTTGTTTTGTTTTTTATAAAGTGCCAGTGTAGAGCTGACTGCTTCCTTTATAAGATGTGAAATGTACATGGCTTTACAAAGCCAGTTTCATGTAAAATTGACAGTGGACAATCTAGTAATAAAAATAGATTCAAGCAAAACAGCAATACAGGGGCCGGCCCCATGGCGCACTGCTACAGTGCCCCGCTTGAGAGCGCAGCGGCGCTCCCGCCGAGGGTTTGGATCCCACATACAGACCGGCCGCTCACTGGCTGAGCGAGGTGCGGACGCAACACTGAGGTTTGCGATCCCGTTGCTGGTCCCGGTCCGGTACGGGCACGACAGTGAGGGTTGCAATCCGTTGCCGGTCACGAAAAAAGACAAAAAAAACCCAGCAATACAATAGCACATTTTGTATACAAATCTTTGATGTTTCACTTTCTGTATATTAAACACATGTTTAAAATTTTATCTTTATGCAGTAGAGTGTAGAAGAAAATTATTAGCCAGGTGTGATTTCTTCAGTAAGTTGGGAAATTTTATTGCTCCATCTTTACAAGTAGAACTTAATCGTGGGTCCTCTTTTGCTAACTCATTTCCCCGCTATGATAAAATGATTCCCATTCTTACACAGGAAGGTGAATTGTGCTGCTAAAAGTAGGTTTACACATTGAACACCTGTAAGAAACCATCCAACAATGTATCTTTCACTTTGATTGCTCAGAAAAAGTTGTGAGCCAGCTAATCAAAGCACTACATTTATGTTCACATCTCAGACTTCTGATTCAAATCAATTTGGGTTTGAATTCATTTGGACTTCTTAATAGTCACGTAACTTTGGGCAATTGTATAACTTCTTATAATCTCAACTTTCTCACATGGAAAATAGAAATATTAATAGTATCTACCAGAAGGGTTGTTTTAAGGAATAAAACATAACTAACTTAAATGACTTTAAAGCACAGTGGTTGGTATACAGGAAACTCAGAATAAATGCTAGGTAATATGGAAGGAAATAGTATGAATCCTAACAACAAATAATTTATTGAAGATGATATTAATATTAATCCTATGAAGCAATGAATATTTTTAGTATAAGTATGTCCCATGCTATATTTGGGATAGACTTACACTAAAAAATGTTATTTATTATTTAGCAGAAATTCAAATTCAACAGTGTGTCTTGTATTTTATCAGCAGCCCTAACTTCGTAGGACATGGTGTTTGCCACATGAGCTCTGTTGCATAATTCCTGGAGTCACAGTTTGTGCTGTGCACTGGAGATGTCATTTACACAGATGACAATAAGAATGGTTGCCCTCGAATAGAACTCTTTGTCCCTGACATCTTTTCCATCTTAGTGATACATTTGTGTGTGTATACTAAATATGGATCTGAGCCACAGCCAGTGTAAGCTGTCGTTTTTAGGGAGAAGACACAAAAATGTTTTGCATTTGTTCTGTACTTTTGGGTTGTGGCGATTCTTCCAGAAAAAAATAGTAGGGTATCATAGTAAACTTATAGCTATATTCATGACATTTCCATAATTCCATAGGTATTTGAAGGAGGATCATGATCATTATCAACAAATCAGGTGATAGCTTTCTATCTTGGAGTTCACATCAGGTTGATAAAATAGACGAACTTGAGGCACCCCTTCAGAGTGGTGTATTAGACCCTGAGAAAATGTGTGTTTTGTTTACAATATTGAGTAGTTCTCTATAGTTTTGTTGCCTGTTTTCATTTTTGATCATCAGGACCTCATGTACAAAACCATACGTATTTGTGATATAGTAATATATTACAATAAAACTATAGAGAGATCTCAATATTGTAAAATGTTAATTTAGCATTTTCTCACAGGAGAAACCATCACGTCAGGTCTGATAACTGGTGATACTGAGCTCGAGTTCATGAGGTGCTTGTGGAGGGGAGAAGTCCAGGAAAGCCAGGAATCCAATCTGGCCACCTGTTCCGGGACCACAGGTAATTCAAATTCAGCCATAGAGACTCAAGGGGTTCATTTAATCAGTCACTGCTCATCTCAACTCGAGGCTGCTTGATTGATCTAGAAATAAAAGCCAGCCCCAGCCTTCAAGAATAGCACAGATGACGAGAGATCAGGCTGGTGGGAGCACGAGGCATTGCTTCACACCTAGACCTCCTCTAAGTGGAGTTAAACCCTCTGATTGAACTTGAGGACATGAGCTCCAATTGTCAATGCTGTGCTTACATTAAACCAGAAATAATTAAATACTTCTTTTAAAAAATGTGTTCCTTAGGGAAATTGTTTTTATTGGTTCTTATTTTAGGGAAATTGTTTTCTTTGGATTGGTGCCTTGGGAGGAAAAACTAGTAGTCAGCCTCCTCTAACTGCAGCATTATGTCGACCTAGCAAAATAAAAATCATTGCCTCCCTTTTGGTGGAGGGAAAAGGCAATTGAAAACCTTCACTGCTTAGCAAACAAGGCCACTCCTTGGCAGTCCTTAACTTTTCCCTTTAGTCTTTGATACATTGCCTTGGATGTTTGTTTCTTGAGCACCTATCTTGGGGTATGACTGTGTATCACTCTTTACCTGGTCAAAAGCACTGGCTTTGTAGCCAGGGAATGCAGAAGTCCTAGATTCCTACTATGGAGGTCAGAGCTGAGCATGTGTCCTTACTTCTTCATAATAATACAGATTTGACAAAATTAATACACTGTATTAGAGTTCTTCAGAGAAACAGAACCTATAGGATGTCCCTCTCTTTTTCTCTCTCTCTTTTTCTCCCTGAATGTACAGAGGGAATGTATGTAGAAAGATTTATTATATGGAATTGACTCATGAGATTATGGAGGCTGACAAGTCCCAAGATGTGCAGCTGGCAAGCTGTAGACCCAGGGGAGCCAATGGTGTAGTTCCAGTCCAAATGCTGGCAGGCTCAAGAACCAGGAACAGCTGGTATTTCAGCACAGGTCTGAAGGCAAAATTAAAAGAGGTCTAAGCTTAAAGATAGTCAGGCAGAAGAAGTTCTCTTAATTTGGGGGACGGTCAGCCTTTTTCTTTCATTCAGGTCTTCAACTGATTGAAGATGTCCACCCACATTAGGGAGGACATCTGCTTTACACAGTCTATTGGTTTAAATGTTAAACTCATCCGAAAACATCCTCACAGAAACACCCCAAATAATGTTTGACCAAATATCTAGACACCTTGTGGCCCAGTCAAGTTGATGCATAAAATTAACTATCACTCGCAAGTACGCTACTGAAGCAAGTATGGCCCAAACAGCAGGCTTCCTCCAGGTCTCATCAAGAGGTGCTGAAATTCCTACAGACATGCACCAGACATGCTGATAATATCAGCAGGAGGGGGAGAAGAATATCTTTGAGCAAAGTTAGTGTTAAGCTAATTCCGAGATATCAGATGCCTTTAAGGGCAGCTTGTCAACATGATTCCCTGCTTCTGTTTTCACAGTAAGAAAAAACATTTAGTTTTTATTATCAATTTTTAAATTGCTACAGCATTTAAAGTAGATTGTCCATTAAAAAACAGTTGCTCCTTTTTCTCCTCATTGATTTTTTCCCCTGCAGGTGAGATCCATTCAATAGCAATATTCATAGGCAATCTCCAGAGTTGGTGTAGTGTCATAGAAGGAGTACTAAATCAAGAGTCAGACCATACCGCTTATTCACTTACTAGCCATGTGACTTTGTTAACTCTCCTAAGATAGAATCAATTTTCTAATTTGGGTAGGTAGGATAATAACTCTTTCCCTGTCTACCTGATAGGGTTATCATAAAGGACCACATGATATCAAATGACCCTGAAACACTTTGAAAACTGTAACACTGTTCTCCATGTAAGGTAATATTATTATATTTAGTCTACGTGAATGTCCTTCTCAAAGTGTTTTTAAAAATATCTACAGTTGCATATTTGCTCTAGAGTTGTTTCAGACCTCCTCACGATGTTTCTAGATGTTTTGTCACCACCGTTCAGAAAAAAATCATCTTGAGATAGCATTTGTCCAACTGTTAGTTCAAAAAAGACTATAAATGGTTTATACACAATTGTGTGATTGAAAAAGGACTTGATAGTATATAAAGTAAGCAAGAGCTAATAACTTACTAAGACCCATAGGGTCTTATTATGAAGGAAAAAATATGAATATAGTCCCCTAAAACAATGCCACTCAAAGTTTGTTCCACCATCCGGTTTACAAAGAAATACATACAGAAATTGGGAGTAAGCATTTTATAACAGTTTGACATTAATAGGACACCTAATCCAAGATGTAATTTTGTCTGTTGAATGTAATAATAAAAAGTTGGGACTTGCACTTTTCATCTTTTTAAAAAAAATTTATTCTCTACTAATTTATTATTATATGTTACAAATATTGGTCCATAAGAGATTGGTCCCTGCCCCAGGTGGCTTAAGAAACATTGCTCTAAAATCTCTGTTTAATGCCAGTAACAACTTCCTAAATATTTAAATGTTGTTTAGTGATATGCGAGTGTTACCAGATTGTTGTTAAGGGTTTTTTTGTTTGTTTGTTTGTTTTTATTTTTGACCGGCAAGGGGATCACAACCCTCAGCATGGTGTTGCCCGCACCACGCTCATCCAGTGAGTGCACGGACCATCCCTATATAGGATCTGAACCCGGTTATTTAGCTTGGGGCTCCCAGCGCTACACTCTCCCTAGTGAGCCACGGGGCTGGCCCTGATTGTTGTTAAGTTTTGAAACTGTGTTCTACTAATAACCTTTATCAGAATCCTGTTTATATATTAGACATAATGCATAGTACTCAAAAAACATAGCCCCAGATATAGTCTTTGATATAGATACCAGGGCAATGTTTTTGTTTTGTTTTGTTTTATTTTGTTTTTGTCCTCCATAAGTATTGATTTGCTTAGCCACCTTGATAGGTTCTAAAGTTCTGAAGGTGTCTTAAACTGCTAAAATGCAAATGAATGTCAATAAATTCTATTCTAGCAGTTTAAATACACTAAAAACATGAGCAAAAGGAAGTCATTGCAGGAAAAAATAAATGATTTATATACTCTTGCATGAAATGACAGATTTCTACTCCCATTAACAATAGAAAGGATATTTTAAAAACTTTTTTATGAGCTTTTGACAAAACTAAATAATAAATCAAGAAATCCCTATACAGATTAAAAGATGTAGAAACAAACCAAAGTGGGGGGAGGGGGGCATGGGTAATTATGGTGACATGGTCAATTAAATGTAGTAGATGTATGAATTGTAGTCGTATACTTTTACAAACTAGTATAACTGCACAGTATTCTTTCAGACACTGTGTGTAGAACGCTTACTAAGACAGGGAACTCCTATCAAAGCATTTGTAACTCAACATTTTTCTGTAACTCAAGATAATTGATGAATAGGCAAAGATGAATTAAACAAGGAATTCAGAGATATTCATTTTCGTCTATACTAATAATCCTTTGAACCTCAACTTGCTGTTTACAAGTCATTGGATTGTAAGAGTGGAGTCAGTGTTATGAATTGGTAAGAACACTGGACCGTTTCAAAGAACATGGGTTCTATTTCTAGCCTGGATGGCCTTGGGCAAGTCATAACCATTCCTCTTGCTTCTGTTTTTTTCCATCTGTTAAATGATAAGATTGGACAAGATGCCTCCCTTGGCCCATTCTGGAGCTATATGTCCATGAAAATTTAAGTTTAAAAAAAGATTTTTAAAACTTATTTAGATTGCAGTTATTACATGAGAAAACTTTCCAAAAAGGGAAGTGCTCTTTTTTTCATAGTGCCAATGAAACTTTTGAAAATGACCATCTATTTATACAAGCCTGATATATAAATAAAATTGAAAGTAAAAACATAAATGTGTGTACTATTTTAAAGTTCATTCTGTGCAGAAGTTTAATTACAATGTCAACAAAAAATATTCAAGACCAATAATGTATTTCAAAGGACAGAATTACTTAATAAGTAACATTACCCAATAATATAAAATTGAGGAAAAGCAGTATCCAATGCTATATTGTCTCCATGAATACAAATGAAGGAGTCGATCTTGTTTGAACGTGGATTCAGAAAATAGCTTACTGGGCAATCCCTTATGTACTAAGAGCTATGTGTTTATTGAGCACCATTTTGAGAAGCTGAAATGTGTTCAACATTTAGGGAATTGGGGAATGGATTTGAATTAGGATAAACTAGTGCACTGTTGCCTAGAAAAAACAAGATCTGTACAGTACCTTACAACAGCAAGGTAGGTTACTTGTGGTTATTTAGCCTGATCAAGGGCAAAGAGGGGCAGAATTTTGGGCAAATTTTAACTTGTTCATAGGACCACCATGTGCTATGGCTCATTGTTAATCTCTGATCCTAAGCTGTGGGACATGTATTTCTCATGGAATGCAAGTATATCTAGGCGTGTGGGACTCACAAATCGCATCATAAGAAAGTTATTCCTTTCTCAATTCTGATTCATCCTACTAAAATGACTCAGTCTTACGCTATTGTGCTTCTAACACCTCTCTTAATTACAAATCCCCTTTGTAACAGAGTCAACCAGGGGTGACAAAGCCTTCTGCAAACAAATATTATCTAGCTACAATTTAGTAACATTAATTTGCTTGCTGTTCTTACAGTAGCCTTCTATTTATGGCAGATGAAACTGGCTTTTAAGTTATAGTAGCAACATAAAGTTATCTTATTAAATATATTTATTTAAGCCCCGAAGGTATGTTGATTTAGAGAAATTTTTAAATAAATAATATACATGGCTGGCAAAAATTTCTAAGATTTCACATGCAAATGATTAAGCTAGTAGAAAATGCCCTGAGGTGGAAGATAGGAAACTTGGTCACTGAGTCTAAATCTAACTATGTTACTAATTATTGGATTGTCCTTGGGTAAGATGATAAACATTTCATGACTCCAATCCTTTATTATCTAATAAGTATAGTAATATTTGCCAAACTACCTTTGGAGAGACAAATGTGAAGATTTAAATTAAATGGTGGATAGTGAAATAGTATAAAATTTGAAAGTTATATGTACATAGGTTTATTATTATGTACCTAAAATATGATTTTTTCTTTTCTTTGTTTTTTTTTTAACCACCCCAGCAAAACCAAATCAAACCAACAAACAAAAAGCAAGATCATAACAGTTTGGAGAAGGATATTACTATCTCTGTTTTCTCTCTAAAATGATGCCGTTTAATGGTAGTGGTGGTGGTGGTGGTGTGTGTGTATGGGAGAGAGAGAGTGAGAGAGAGAGACTGACTTCAGTTGTACAATTTCTACACTTAACACTATTCCTAAATATTAAAGCTGTGGTTGTCGTTTTCAGATTGATTATATGTTCATCTTTGCTATTTTCCATGGTAACAAAAATAGCTTGAAAAGTAAACTATGTTTAAAAAATGAACCTAATAACAGATCTTATTCATCTCAAGGTTTAATAAAAATATTATGACCTATCTGAATATTTAGAGCTGTCAAAAATAATGAAATTTAGTTTTGTTCCAAAAATTGTTTCTTAATCAGAAATAATATTAAGAATCTTGTTTATTTTACTTTTTTTGTTGTGTTTAAAACCTCAAATTTTCTGATAATATGTCATCTTTTCACAAAAGATACATGAAAAATAATGAAATTTAGTTTTGTTCCAAAAATTGTTTCTTAATCAGAAATAATATTAAGAAACTTGTTTATTTTACTTTTTTTGTTGTGTTTAAAACCTCAAATTTTCTGATAATATGTCATCTTTTCACAAAAGATACATTGCTGTTACATCATGACATCTCCTATAGACTTCAGGATTTCCTTTTCCCATTTAATCTCTTGCTTATCTTTGAAGTTAAGGTTGTTGTTATGGTTAAAATGTAATGGTTCAATTAAATATCTGATATGTTTTGGTATTAATGATTAATTATATCAGGTTTATGGCTATGTTTTATTTTGAGACTTTCTAATGTTAATTTATTGTATGAAATGCAGAATATTCATGCATGTAGAAATAATGCTAGCAATTGTGGTTTTCCCTTGCATTAAGCAAAGTTTATTTAAGCATTATTGCTACTGGATTAGAAAGTAATAAACGTCATAATCTCATTTGTATATAAACACTCATGCTTGGTCTAGGACAGGGATTCTCAAACTTGAGCATTTATCAGAATCACCTGGAGGGCTTGTCAAAACACGGATTGCCTGGCCCACCCTCAGAGTTTCTGATTCAATAGTTCTGGGGTCGGGCCTGAGAATTTGTATTTCCAACAAGTTCCCAGATGTGCTGCAGCTGATGTAGTTCTTGGACCACACTCTGAGACCCATTGGTCTAGTGGAAGGCAGAATAGCAGAGCACTGAAGCTCAGGAACTTAGGTGATAGGCCCAGATTTCAGCTCTGGTTTTGACATTTCTGTGCTGTGTAATTTGGACAAGTTAGGGACAATTTTGTCATCTATATAATGACAATTAAATTAATTGAGAATATTGAGTACAATAATGCATATTAAGTGCTTGCAACAATGCCTAGCATGTTATGAACACTCACTAAATGTAAATCAGTAACTAGAAGTAATGGTAGTTAGAGTAGTAATTGTGGAAGTAGCATTTAGTGGTAATAGACATGAATATCCACATTTACCTTAGTTCAATTGCAGTAAAAGTTTATTAGTCTTTTCTGAGAAAGGCTGGACAGAGAGCTTGGCTTTCACTGATGACATTGTTTTTATGAGAAACATTCTGCACAGGAAGAGAATTCAGTAAAAAGAAGCAGTGCCCGGGTGAAAGCACTTTCCAGAGCACTGTGGAGACTGCAAACTAGATTGCAGTTTAAGCAAAAGTTGCTCCATTTATCCAATATTTCTCAATATTCAGAACTCACCGCATTTGTTTCTTTCCTTCCCTTAGCAACAAGAGCAAGACCCAACAAACTTATACATCTCAAATCTCCCCATTTCTATGGATGAGCAGGAACTTGAGAATATGCTGAAACCCTTCGGACATGTCATTTCCACAAGAATACTAAGAGACGCTAATGGAGTCAGCAGAGGTGTTGGCTTTGCCAGGTAAAACTCTTGCTCAGTATGTAACTTAACTTCCTTCGTTGTTCCCTTTTGATTTCATTCAGTTCTACTATTAGGGTCCAAAGCAATAGAATATGCAAAAAAAAAAAAAAAAAAAAAAAAAGGCATCTTATCAAATCTATGTGTCTCTGTATGTTTGCTTTGAGCCAAAGAATTCCAATGTAATTATAAGTAAATTATGCTTGCTGAAGTATGGACCGAGAATGTGTTTATGTGTCTTGACTCATAATGATATGCATACAAGCTCCCAATCCTCTCTGTGCCTGTAGATCAACAAAATCAGATGCGGCCAATTCCTGCCAGGGATAATAAACGCCCAGTATCCCAAAACAAAAGAAGCTGTTTGGTGAACAAAACATCCAAATGTTTTTGCATTGATTTCCAAAAAAGAGAGATGGTAGAATTTCTAAGTAAGGAGAAGAGAGAAGAGAGGAAAGATTTAGGAAAACAGGAATTGTTGGGAAGTCCCAAGGAGCCCAGAAATATTAGGGGAGGCCAAGAAGGCATTTGTATTTAAGAGGCCCTAGCTGTGTATTTTTTAATATTTTAGGCAGAACAGGAAAAAAAAAGTTGTATTTCTTTCATTGTTGTAAAAGGAAGAGTTGTTTTCATTTTAACTTTAAGGGAATGTTTACAAAAGAGGATCTCAGCCAGAAATGGAGTTAAAATGATTGTACCTGCTGTGCTTTCATGAAAAACAAAGCTCACAAAACCACAGAGTAAAAGAAACTGCTCAAAGACAAAGAAGCAAATGCTGCTGTCTGCAAGGCTTTGTGCTTTTATGTGCGTCTCCAGCTGACTTAATGTGGATGTTTCGGTGAACTCCTACATTGCTCAGGATGAATGTGAGGTGTGGAAGTCAGCCCATTGCAGACAGGTGTGTCCACCTAGGATGAACCCAACCATCACTTGAAAAACCATTTTGAATCAACTTCTGTTCACCCACTTTGGGAGATAACAAATGGTAATATAAATGTTAACTGATCCCCAACTTGACATTTTGGAGGTCATGGACCATTTCTTAAACATTTTTTTATTCCCCCTAATGTTCCACACATATTAGGCCAGTAGACATATGTAAGATACATTTGATGATTTGAACAAAAATAAGCAAAATGAAGACAATCTCCCTGACTCGAATGGGTGCATGAGGCATTCAGGCTTTCAGCACATTGACGACTATTGATTTTCATGGTCATGGCAGAGCTAATGACACCACTCGGGGCTCTCAATTTTGCCAATGGAGTCATTCTTGGATAGGGTACAACCTGCCATCCAAGGTCTGAGCAATGTGGGAGTTCACCAGAACAACTGCTACGTTGCACTTTGCACGGCATGCACATTCCTGTAATGCTTCCCTCACTCCTTGCCCTCTAGAAACTCTCTCTAATAAATTAGTTTCTCCTTCATTTGTACTGCTGCTGAGAAATAAATGCATTTCAAAGTCATCTAGAGAACACACTTTCTAAGAAGATCTATGGCACCTTTTTTTTAAACATAGGATTTTTTGGTATAAACTATGTTAGTTTACTAGGGCTGCCATAATAAAATACAGCACATTGGGTGGCTTAAACAACAGAAATTTATTTTCTCACAATTCTGGAGGCTAGAAGCCAGAGATCAAGGTGTCTTCGGGGTTGGTTTCTTGTGAGGCCTCTCTCTTTGGCCTGTAGGTGGCCGTCTTCTCCTGTGTCTCCTTCACGTGGTCTTCCTTCTGTACATGTCTGTCCTAATCTCTTCTTCTCATAAGGGCACCAGTCATATTGGATTAGGGCCCACTGTAATAGCCTCATTTTAACTTAAATTAGCTCTTTAAAGACCCTGTCTCCAAATATATTCACGTTCTAAGATTCTCGGGGTTAGGACTTCAACATATGACTTCTGGGGGACACAGTTCAGCTCATAACACAAAGATTGTACTATTTACTTCTCTCACGTTTATCTTTTCTGTATACTTTGAGTTTGTTTAAAATAGAACTTATTCTTCTTAAGCTAAATATTATAGTAAAATATATTGTAAGTGGTAAAACTATAATCATGGCATACAATGTTATGAAAGAATAAAACTTACAAAGATATTTTTCTTTAGGAACTGAGGAAGGGTGGGAATTTTAAACTGATATTTTATCCCTTCTCTGAATGCAGCCTCTCACTCCTCCAGAAGCCACAAGTGAGCCCTTAAAAATTCAAATCTGATCATGTCAGGGTCCTGTTTACAATCCTTCAATATGCCCTAAGTGATTTCACTTGCTGATCTCTCGGGCATGATCCCTGATGTCACTAACCTTCCTGGTCTTGACTCTGTCCTGTCCAGGACACAAGCTGCCCTTCTTGACTGGTTATAATTTTCTTGACTTTTCCTTTGGCTTCTGCTTATTCATCTCTCAGGTATTGGCTTAAAGGTCTTTTCTACAAAGAATCTTTACTGACCTCTAAACCTAGGCTTCAGACGAAGTTAGGTGCTCTTCTTACAGCTCCTGTAAAAGTTCCCGCCCCCCCCCCCATAAGATGTATCACAATTGCAGTGAATTCACTATCTAATTTCTGTCTTCACTTACTGAATTTCATGTTTCCTTAAGTCAAGTTTCCTTTTTCATTGTTGGATAGATGGAGGCGTGGGTGGGTGATGGAACTCATAATTACCATTTTACAAAGGAAGTTCCTGAATAGCTAAACCAATGGTCTTTTAAAACTTTGAGCTTTGAATATGAATTATCAATCACATTCCAATACTGAAGCTTAGGTGTCTGCACTCTAAATCATGTTTTTTTTCAATTTCAGCAAGTGGTATGTGGGTTGAAAAGGAAAACATAGGTTAAAGTCAAGCCAATGGTTTCCTATGCCTAAGAAAGAAGAAGAAAATGTGAATCTGCCTGTCATTTGTTAAGCCTGGAAACTGACAGAGAATGAGTATTTCATTTTCCATGTATCTTAGACTTTAAATTTCAAAGATCAGGATCCCACATGATTAACCTAATTTTATGCAAGAAAACAATTTTAGCTATGCCATATGTAAGTAGATCTGCCCAAATTCCTTCTTCCTCACACTTTAACATTTGTTCTGCATTTTCTCAAACAATTATGGCTAATGCCTTAACTAACTGGTCATTCAGCAACTTAACTCTTGCACAAGTGTTTCTTCTTTTAAAAAATATTATCCCTTCCCCTTTTTTACGCAGTCTTTCTGCACTGGAATGTTACCTCTGAACCACAAAACAGAGATGATTTGAGTCAGTATTTTCTCGATTCTTCCAAGGATAATACATAGCAAGTGAGAGAAGTTATTATATTACATGCAAATGTCTTGGGACAGTGGTTCTCAAAGTGTGCTTCCCAGATCACCTGAGAACTGGCTAGAAATGCAATTTTTCCCACCTACTTACCTACTGAATGAGCAATCTGGTGGTGGGGGTGAGCAGCAACAAATCTGCGCACTAACAAGCACTTCGAGTTATTGCTGCTTTCAAAAGATTGAGAAATGTTGTCTGAGGGTATTAGGACTGGTTCTCAGGATCATCTGGAAGGTCTTTAAAAACTCAGATTTCTGGGCCTTGCTCTTAGTTTCTAGTTCAGTAGGTTTGGAGTGGGACCAAAACATGCATTTCTCACAAATTCCCAGGTGATACTGACACTGCTGTCTGGGAACCACACTCCGAGAACTACTGCTCTAAATTTATTATCTATGATTTTTCTAGATGGAATTGATTCCTGTTGATGCCTCTATCACACTGTATCACTTTCTCAAAATGCACTTATCACAAGTCTGTCTCCTTTCCTGTTCCTCAAGGATAGAGACCATGCCTCCTTCTGCACAGCTATTCCAGCATCTAGAACACTGTCTGACACATAACTCATCTTCAGTAACTTTTTGATGATGAATAAATAAAATCACTCCAGGGATTTTTTGTTTTATTTGGTTTTGTTTTTTGTTTGTTTGTTTTTTGACAATAACAGTATGTAGGGAGATAACATTTGATGATAATGGTAGGCCAATACTGAGACAGGGAATACTGGCATATAAGAGAATACTATGTATATAAGAGATGTATATAAGATGTATATAGATGTATATAAGAGAATACATTAGCTGAACTACTATTGGTTCACAAGTTGTTTCTTTCTGTAAAAGTTCTCAGTGCCACAGCCATCATTAAAGGAAAAGGCAGTCTATAATCGTATCTAGTAAATTGTTGTACAATTCTCTTGAATTTATGACTATCTCAGTTCACAAAACCTGAATAATTCTTTCAGCTGGCTTCATTTTTTGAATATTGCCATTGGTCACTTCTAATCAGATGTAGTCCTTAATTCATGTGCAAGAGTCTAAAATTCTTTTGACTAGGAAAAAAAATCCATTATTATTTTACTTGCAAGCTATACATTAATCTACTTTGATAACCATCTCTTCAAAGTAAAAGGAGTATCTTCATTTTATATTTAAAACACTGAACTTCAAAGCATTGATTTGAATGCCAGTAGGGTGCATAGACAGCACAATTGCAGGCTTTTCCAAGTTCCAGAAGCACTAGTGTCTGAAATTACAGACATTTTATTTTATTTTTTATGGTTTTTTTTTACTCTCTTGTAACTTAAAACAATTTTGTAAGATCCATCCTCCTCCAGGCAGCATTTTATAGTCAAGTCATAAACCTCTAAACACAGAAGTTTATGGTGGGAATGCTGACAGTCAGACCCAATACTGCCGAGCTCGTGGGTGCCAACAGACTACCCTGCCCGGGAGGGTGAGGATCAGAGCATAAATCAGCTAGAGTCTGGGGGACATAACTGTGTGTTCATGCTATCCATGTCCCATTCCCAGAAACTTGAGACCATTTGTCCAGCAAAATCACATTGAAAGAGTGTTATGAGAGGCCAGTAAAGAATGACCCAGAGTGGGGATGGGATAGGGGGTAAGCATTCACAATTAATCCAGCTTCAACATCTGGGAACATAGAGTCTCTTTAAGAGATGCATTTACTGTC